ATAAGAATGGCAAATTGTTGGCAAATTTAGTGGCAGAGTCTCATCAGCAGACAATAATTCCTCGACTTTTGTCCTCTACGGATGACCTCCTTCTAGAGCAATCTCAGATCCTGCAGGAATTTAGAAGTTATTTTCAGTCTCTTTCTAGTCCTTGCCCCTCTCCAGATCCCATGGTCTTGGGGGATAGATTGGGGATCCTTTCCTTGCCACGTTTGTCGGACGTTGATGCGGCTGAACTTGACAAAGAAATCACTCTCTCAGAAATTGAGGCAGCTATTCGTTCATTCCCACCCAATAAAACCTCTGGGCCGGACAGATTGCCTGGGGACTGGTAGAAATTATATATTTCAGATCTGGATTGGCATCTTTATGATCTCTTCAGGGAAAGATTGGCCCAGGGTGTCCTCCTCCCCTCCATGTATCAGGCTCACATTGTCTTGATACCAAAGCCTGGTAAAGATCCTCTACGTCGCTGCTCCTCCTATAGACCCATATCACTATTGAATTAGGATTTCAAAATTGACTAAAATTTTAGCAGAGGTTGAGGAAACTCTTTCCTTCTCTCCTAAGTATGGATCAGACTGGGTTTATCCCTGGGAAAACTACTGATATTAATTTGCGACACGTTTTGTAACATTCAGTTCCCTTCGGCGGAGTCACCCTCCGGGTGATGGTCATGCTTAACGTTGAAAAGGCATTTGACTCTGTTGACTGGGTTTATATGTCTAAGGTATTGGAGCTGATGGGTTTTGGTCAACATTTTAGCTCCTGGTTAAGCATTTTACATAGTGATCCCCAAGCCCAGATCAACTTGGGTTGTGACCTTTCTGACCCTTTACCTGTGGGTAGGGGGACGAGAGGGATGCCCTCTTTCTCCTGCCCTCTTTGTGTTGGTTATGGAGCCCTGGCGGATGTCCCCCGAGGTTCAGGGCATACAGGTGGGCACTAATACAGAGAAAGTGTGCTCTATACGCAGATGATATGGTGTTTCTCCACGATCCAGGTCCATCCCTTAAGGCAGCCTTGGCCCTGATTTCTTGCCATTATCGGGACTAAGGGTTAACTGGGATAAATCTTAAATTCTCCCTAGAGACCAGGGTGCTAACACTTTGCTTGATCCTGACATCCCCTTTCAGTGGGCCTCCAGTGAAATATTTGGGTATTGTGGTTTCATCGAAAACCCTTAGATTTCTGTAGGCTCAATTTGTCGTTACTCTTGAGGGCGAAGCAATGTATGGCGTCATGGACTAACCTTCCACTCTCCCTCATGGGTAAGATTAATTTAGTCAAAATGAAACTCCTTCCCTCCTTCCTCTATGTACTCCGACATACTTCAGTCTGGATTCCACAGAAATACTTCAATTTGATGCAGCAGTAGTCTCTTTCCTGTGGGGTTCGAGGCAGCCCAGATTTAGGGAGACCCTGGACTGAGGGGGGATTGGCCTGCCCTGATCTATATTCTTACCTTGCGGTGTTGCTCTCTCATGAGCACAACTGGATAGTGGCTGATGAGACCAATGCTGCTGTGGTATTGGAGGCAGCTTTCATGAGCTCTTATGAAGCTCTCCGTAACCTGTTACATAGGGGGTCCAGCCAAACCTCTACCCATTACTATGGCTATGAGAGCAGTCCTTAGGGCCTGGCGGTTGCATTTTCCTTTAGAGTCCTGAGTTTGGTCGCCCCACACCCCATTATGGCCTCTTTAAAATAATTTTTTCTTTTCCCAGACCCTTAGGTCTGGGCATCAAAAAATGTTAAGTATCTGCAGCAGATCTGTGATGGTGGTACACTCAGAACATTTGATTCCTTAAAACTTCAATATGCTCTCCCCAACTCCTATTTTTTTTTTTTTTTTTTAAGATATTCAACTACGTCATGCTTTTCATTGACAATTTCAGGGTAATCCACTACAGTTTCTGGAGTTAGGGTGTGAGTCCATGCTGTAGGATGAGTCCCCGAGGAAACCCCTCTCCTCTATTTACAAGACCATATTGGTCTTGAGCATAGTTTTGCACAATGGCGGGTGGAGGTGCCCGATTTGGACTCTGGGGACTGTGAGGATATATGGAAGCACCCTGTGCAGCAATTGGTTTCTACTCATGACCAATAGATTCAGTTTAAGATTCTACATAGAATATATTACACTCCTCAGAGGCTGCACCGGATGTTTCCAGCACACCCTTCTGGATGTTGGCGTTGCCCTGAGGGTCCAGCAACATTTTTACATATCTTCTGGAGCTGCCCTTTTAAGTTTCTGGAAACAACTGATTTATACGGTTTTGTGTGACATATCTGGATTGACTCTTGTGAATTGGTCCCTTCCAGCTCTGCTTAAGATCGAGTGATGGTTCTCTACCACTTGTCGCAGATTTTTTTGCTCGGTGTGGGGTGCCAGTGATCTTCTTTTGTGGGAATTGTCTTCTGCCACATCTAAGCCCTGTGATATCATTGGATACAGTTGTCGTCTGTCTGTTGTTGTCCACCTTATCTGTGTGTTATGTTTCTGCTCGTTTTTTTTTTTTTTATTATTATTATTATTTGAGATTTAACAGGTTCCCGCCCGGCCTATAGCCAGATGGCGGCCGGCAAAAACACCTCGTCCCTCCGGGTGGAGGCCATATGGAATCCTTTCAGGTATGCACAGTTTGCCTGTCCGCAGAGCCGCGCAGCAGCTCGATCTGTCACCGGCCGTGTACCTCGGACATGGCTGATGACAGATCTGTGTACCGGCCCCGATACCGGTACCATGTGACCTGCTGTGACTAATCACAGCAGGTCACATGACAGTTGTATACAATGGATGGCTTCCTTTCATGCCATCCATTGTATACAAGTGTGGATAGCTGTGAATGGTCACAGCGATCACATGCACAAGCTGGGCATTAGCTGGGATTAGCTGTGGCCAAATCACAGTTAAGAACAAAAAAAAATCCTAAATGAATCGATTTCATTCATGTAAATGCTTGCTTATAGCAAAGTAATTCTTTGTTATGAGCAATTTGTGCAAAAAAAATACTACTTTGGTCATAGTGAAATATATATAAAAATCTTAAGAAAAAAATGTAATAAAGAAAAAAATTAAAAGAAAAATATTTTTTTTTTTCGTACTGTCTCCAGGCAGTGTCCCTGATCACCGTGCCATGCCAGTTATATGACGACGCTGTACTACACTGGTGGCAGTATGTGTAAAAAAAAAAAAAAAAAAGTGAAAATCTTTTTTTATTTCTTCATTTACGAAAAATGACAAAAAAAAATTACAACTTCAAAAAAACTCGCCATGCCTGTTATGAAATACATCGGGCTGTCTACTTTGCAAAAAGGGGTCATTTGGGGAATATCTGTACTGTTCTGACATTCTTGGACCTCAAGAAATTAGATTGGCCGTCAGTATTTCAGGATTGATAAATTTTCAGATATATCCTATAGTTTGTGAACTCTATAACTTTCCTACAGACTAAATAATAAATACTAATTTGTAATGTACAGCGCTGAGCGAACTATTGGCGCTTTATACTGTATAATAATAATAAATAATTTGGGTTATTTTTGCCAAAGACATGTAGTAGAATACATTTTGGCCTAAATTTATGAACAACAATTTATATATTTGCAAAATTTTATACCAGAAACAAAGAAAAACATGGTTAATTTAGCAAAAAATAAAAACCCCAGCGGTGATTAAATACCACCAAAAGAAAGCTCTAGTTGTGTGAAGAAAATTATAAAATTTTAGTTTGGGCACAATGTTGTATGACCGCGCAATTGTCAAAGTGTGAGCGCTGAAACCTGAAAAATGGCCTGGGCAGGAAGAGGGTAAAAGTGCCCGGTATGGAAGCGGTTAAGCCAGAGTATGCCCAATAGGCTTTGTTTTGTATTCTCCACTTTATAAGTCAATAAAGATAATTTTCAAAGAAAAAAAAAAGAAAAAGTGTATGTTCTGAGTTTATCCATCTGTCTAGAACTCCCCTCAAATTTCAGTAGCATTATCTTATACCTAAACTACAGTTATATTGTTACTTATATTATGGGGTTCTCTATTGGGTAACCAAGTGCTGCAGCTTTTCTGCACTCATACCAAAATTATGGATAGTTGCCTAGTGGAAAATTGCTGAAAACACTGATTCCATGATGCATTGAACTGGAGAGTAGAGAATTGTCAAAAAAAAAAAAAAAAAAAGGGGAGGTGCAAGTATTCAGTTGGGAGAAAAGGGCATCTACATATACTTAAAGCAAACAATAATTGGATATGTGAACATTCTCACCTCCTTTAGTAGGTCAGACTTGGCATTTCCCCTACACTGGGTGTTGTATTCTGATTCACAATTTCAATTTTTCTGTCACTAATTTTTGTACTACAACAAGTATACCAGAAAAGTTACCAGAAAAAAAAAAACCCCACAAAGTTATGCTTATTAATAGTTTAATGTATGAAGGAAACATCCAGATTTCTGAATATGAAGGTACATCTCACATTAATTTAAGTCTACATAATGTAGAGCCTCTATACTGACATATTGAATTCTCTGCTTAGCCATTTCTGTTATGTAAACAATTGTACATTTATTTGCCATTCTAAAACTTCAGAATCAGTTATGTAATTTTGCTAATTTGTCTGTGTTTGCTCAGAAGCAGTTTACAGTACTAAAACCAACCAGCCAAACAGCTTCAAGGAAAAAAATAAAGTTATGTTCATAAACAAAAGAAAAAAAGGGGAGAAAAAAAAAAAAAAAAGCAAAAACGTAAAAGAAAGGGAAAATAAAATAAAGGTGGGAGAAGGCTAACTATAGTGAGATTTATGGTGATGAGAACTGGGCTGTCACAACGGTCACAGAAAAAGGTCAGTTAGTAAATTCTTCTGCAAAAAGCCTACACACTTCAGTCAAGCACATCAGTAGAATGATCTGGGAGTATGTCATCTTTTTGCCTCTGTGGGATGAAGGTATCTGTGTTTGATTTTCCTACTCGCTGAAGGATTTTCCATGCTGACGACACCATTTAAATCAACCCATCTGATTCATGTGCACACTGTTCATGTGGGGATTCCAGGTTCCAGTCCATACCTGGAAAGAAATGTGAAAATTGTAAGCAAACATGTAGTACAATTTTAGGTCATCATATGGAGAGGTCTGTTACAAAAGTAAAGTGAAACTAACGTCCTCTTAAAAACATTGCTGGCAGGCATGTTTTTTTTTTTAATGCAGAAGAGACTGTAGGACGTTTGACTACCCTTTAAATTCCTCATCTTGGTGTACAGTACTGGACTGTTATTTGAAGTGTCTAATATGCATGCCCTTTGACAGTGAACACCTATCTGAGGAATACTTTTATAAATTCATCAAGGAAGTTACTGGGGGAAATGTACTCATACCAAACAAGAAAAAGCCTATGTCTCCCACTTCTACAGCTACTACCACTACTCAGCCAAAGGGGTCTTTTTGCTCTCCTCAATCATAAACTTCAAAACCATGGCACAGTACCTCCTGGTGTTGCAAGCTTTGGACCCCCCCCCCAATCCCAAGCCTGACCATAAGCTCTCCTCACAACAAGGGGGTGGTCCTGGGCATAATACAACCTTATTGTGGAAAAGTATGCGGAAAGGCTTTTCCCTGAAACGGGCTGCCAGTTAAGAGACGCGCATGATTCACATGATGGCTGCCAAAAATGCTACATTGTTGGCAAGAATCTATAAGGCAATATCCCGGATATCTTAAAAGGGTGGTTACTAAAGGGCAAAGAGGACCACATTAAAGTGGTCTTAAAGCTAATAACAAACATGTCTATACTTACCTGCTCTATGCAATGGAATTGGCAAAGCGGTCCCGAACTTCCTCTGCTTGGGTCCCTCCGCAGTTGCTCCTCCTCTGTCCAGTGCCCCACAGAAAGTTGCTTCCCATGGGGGCTCCTGTGCGTGCTCATTCCCAAGCCCTGCTGCTGCGTCTATTGACACAGAGAGCGAGACTCAGCCCTGCCCCCGTCCCTGGCTTTGATAGCAGCGGGAGCCAATGACTTCCAATGCACCAGCAAAGCCAGTGAGACCCAGAAGGGAGGGGAAAGAGGAGCAGCAGACATGCAGTGCTGGCTTGAATGAGGGCTCAGGTAAGTAGAAGGGAAGGGGGATACCGATGCCTAAACATTTTTTACCTTAAACGCAAGGAATGCATTAAGGTATAAAATGGTTAGACTTTACGATCTCAGGGAAGCACAGTATGCTGCAAAAGTGCCCCGACATGGGAAACACCTTGTATAAAAAGGTTTTGACAATTACAAAATGCCTTTGAAAAAGGATGGATAAGGCCCATACTTGCCTTTTTAGTAAGTAAAGGTTAGATTCTAGTCAACCTGTGGTGACATTTTTCTGTCTGCACCAATAGCAGATGTCTCTTTAGAAAGGGGGGTCCAGCCTGACTGCTCTAGGCTCTAAGACCTTGATGGGGAGTTTGGTTTCCCATCCTGACCACATTCCCCGACCTGTCAAAGATTGGAAGACTGCTTCCCAGACAGACTTGCATCTGTTGTAAGAACTTTTCAGCTGGAGGGAAGGAAAGATTTTCCAACTGTTAGAGCTGAAGTGGAGACCCACCAGGACAAGAAAATTCTTGTTTGGCTGGACGGGAGCATGGGTCAGTCCAGGGGGAAAAGCCTGCTTTTTGAACAGAATGTATAGTTGGAGTATTCTTGAGTGGAATTAAGCGATAAGTTCTGCTTAGAAAGAGGCAACCACAGGACCCAAAACGCTGTCAAATCTGATTGTGGATTTCTCTTAGATTTCAGTTGATGAGCATGATCTTTTAAGAGAAATCTTTCCTTTTTGAAAGAAAGAATTTTGCTTGGGAGGTATTCAGTATTCCAGGTGTAGGTTGGAGCAAATGTGCTAAGAGTTTTAAGAGAGATGAATTCTTTAGGAGAAGGTTGCCTAGATAGCCTGTCACTTGATTGCCCCTAGTTCTGAGAAGGGCAAACAAAAAATGCCAAGACCTTTCTGAATACCCTGCAAGCAGAGAATAGGCCGAAGGGCAGTGACACAAAATGGAAGTGGTTGTCTGCAACTGCAATGCATAGGAACAGCTGATGAGGTGGGTAAACGGGAACATGCAGGATAGGCATTTTGGATATACTGTACATGGATGCCATGCATTCCCTGAAGAGGTAATTACAGACCTTGTAGATTTCATGCAAAATGTTTGGAGATTTGAATTAGTTAAGGGATTTTAAGTCCAGGACAGAATGAAATACCCATGTTGGGCTTTGGTACCATGAACAGGTTTGAGTAGAATCCCTTGAATCTGTCATAAGAGGTGGCTCAGGGTATTCTGTAAATTTGACTATTCTTGAACAGCTTATGGTTAATTTGAAAGAAAAGGAGTGAGATGGTAGTATTTTGAACTCAATCTTGCAACCTTTTGAAACCACTGACTGAACCCACAGTTCTGGGTTGTCTGTAACCCAGAGCGATGCAAATTGCAACAGACATCTCCCAAATGTGAAGAGGGCTTTAGGAAAGGCCTATAACCCTTTAAGGGCCAAACCTTGTACCAAAAGGAAGGGCTGAACTTCGGTTATGAATCTGAATTCTGATTAGAGCATGCAGGTGCTCTGCGCATCTCCTGAGGAGGGCGGTTTTGATACTTTGTTCTGTGGGAAAAAAAAAAAAAAAAAAAAAAAAACAAAAAACTTTCCCACCCCATGTGACTTTAATGAATCGGTCAAGTGCCTCACCAAACAGATGTCTTCCCCGGAAGGGCATACACGTGAGGTGCCTTTTTGCAGGTAGCTTCCACTTTCAGGTCTTTAGCCTTAAGATGGAGGTACAGTGAGATGTTTCTTATAAAAGATACAGCAGGATCAACCACAGGAATAGCTTACATTTTGCATCTTTTTTTCACTGGATAGAGTATAGCAGAGATTTTTTGGGGAGTGAAAATCCTAGGAGTGACCCAATCTTTTTTTTAACTGCACATTTGACCTGTTCATGCACAGGGAATGTTTTGCAAGTCTTTGTAGGCCTCTCTGGGCCCAAAGGGGCATGGCAAACTGGAGGAGAGTCAACTTGATAGTTGAGAGTAAACACAATGCCAAGGCTTTTGCAGACAGAGGCTATGAACTTTGTCAGTGTTAGCAAGTATACTGCATGAAGCATACTCAAATTAAAAAAAAATATAAAAAAAAAATGGGAAACCGCAGAATATTTATATTTCTTTTCCCCACATGGGGCTCAGATTCAGGATGTGCAACAGAAGTAGACAAAACAAAATCACAAACCCATCTACTGCACTACAAGACCCAGCTTCCCAAATCTAATGACCAATTTACTGCAGGGATGGTGGAAGCAAATCTCAAGATACACAACCAAAGGATCTTGCAGCTACCATTACACCTGGGAAGATCCAAAATAGCTTTAAAAGACAAAAGAAACAGTAACGCAGGATCTCCGTCAGTGATATATGTGATTTTATTGAAGCAATTAAAATTGTTGGTACACTCGTGTGTAAAGTTCTTGGCAAGCGGCTCAGGTACAGATCTCAGCATGGAAACATCAAGTGTGTCAAGTACATGGCCGTTCCGAATCCTTCAGCCAGCATATAGAGGGACTGAATTTGACAGCTGTCAAAACCACTAGCACTGCCTCGGAGATCCACCAACTAGAAAGCAAAATGAGCGAGCCCATAGCTTGCATCTCAAAGTGCAGCAGGTAAAAATTCTTCAGCAGGACCCTCCACCTTACCTTCCTCAATATCTTCCTTGGAAAGGTTAGCTGGATCGGGGGCATACTTGAATAGATTCAGATGGTGGAGAAGCAGAACAGTGCTTTTTGGCTCTGAATACTAAAGGCTTCAGAACGGCAGCGTTTCTCAAAGAAATCAGACATAGTTGTAGTAAAATCTGCCCTAGACAGAAAACGTATTGCACGATGGGACTAGAATTGGAGGAAGGGAATACAGGTTGCAGGAAAGAAAATTGCTCTATTCCCCCGTGAACACTGTTAATGGGGGAATCCCTCCTGCTAAGCTATTGTGTTCTCCTGGTGGAGAGGGCCATTCCCTACTGGAAGAACACCGATTGCTGCCAGCGGCTCACAGCCGCTCGCAATCAAATGAAGAATCAGACTGGCTAGTTGTACCTATACTTGTGTACAAATCAGCGTGCCCACAGATGGCCCCTGCTGGACCAGTCAAAATTTGAACCATCTGTGGCTGGCTTTAGGTTTTAGAAATTTGGAAGAGGTTTAAGCAAAAGCCTTAAAAAAATTTGCTGCTGGTACTACGATAATGTCCAGGAGCTGTTGAACAGCAGCCAGCAGATCCACCCACGATGACAAGGAAGATGACAAAGTTTGAAAGCATGAGCGTGAAGGCAGAGCAAGAATCTCCAACTTGCAGCCCCTGGAAAGGACACTCTGGACCAAAGCTTTTAAAAATATTCTGAGATTAGACGGCCATTCACACAGTGAGCTGTGGGCAAAAGGTCCAACTGACAATGAACCGAGGGATCTGTATGAATGGAGCTGGGATCATTATTTTGGTTCAAACTGCAATGATCTAACAGACTGCCACAGACACAAACGCAGGTTGCATGGCAAGGCCTACCCAGGCAAAGACAACATTAGGGTGGGTGTCTAACCTCCACAGAGAGTCCTTGAATACAGGATTATCCTACACAGGGACCTTTGGATAAAATCGGACTCTGGCTTCTCTGATGGTAAACAAGAACATACAGTCAGGTCCATAAATATTGGGACATCGACACAATTCTAACATTTTTTTTGCTCTATACACCACCACAATGGATTTGAAATGAAACAAACAAGATGTGCTTTAACTGCAGACTGTCAGCTTTATTTTGAGGGTATTTATATCCAAATCAGGTGAACGGTGTAGGAATTACAACAGTTTGCATATGTGCCTCCCACTTCTTAAGGGACCAAAAGTAATGGGACAATTGGCTTCTCAGCTGTTCCATGGCCAGGTGTGTGTTATTCCCTCATTATCCCAATTACAATGAGCAGATAAAAGGTCCAGAGTTCATTTCAAGTGTGCTATTTGCATTTGGAATCTGTTGCTGT